TAGGGCTGTCGCGATTCGTCGATTTTATTCGATTTTTAAAAATCCTCAACTTCATTTTGCTCGTGTCGACTAACCGGCAAAATACCGGAAGTGGCGCATTTCACAGACGAGAATGTATAAAACAATAATTAAGCATAATTGTGAATTCACAAACGCTACGATTTAATTAAATAATTATGCGATGCAGTTCTAATACAGTATATGCGCTTTAATTATTTACATGCGTGTAGATTAAGTACGTGCGTCACGCAGCGGCTCCCTTCACAGTAGTTCCACAGGAACTGTTATCATTTACATGTGTGGAGCATCTCAAACTCCATCTCTGCATGTTGTTGTGAGTTTGGGTTTATTATAACGTTAATCTGGGAACGCAACATGCGCCATTTCATCAGATTTGTAAGGTAAATCATTTATAAATTCACGCAAACACAGGAGAATACATCGCGGTTTCAAAATAAAAGCTCAAACCCTCACTTTATTAATATAATTTTATTATTAGTAGACTAGAACACGTGGATATGTTGTTATTCTTACACTATAATACTGAACTTTGATTTCAGTGATTTGGACTGAGATGGACACTTGCTTCTTGCATTTGTTGCACTTTTTTACTTTTGGATTTCATTTGGTTTAATGAAATATAGTTGAATAAAATATTCTTAAGTAAAATTGTTGAATTTTTTTTTTTTTTTGCGGGAAATTAATCGTCTAGATTAATCGACAAATTAGTCGATAGATTAATCAAAATAAAAATAGTTGTTAGTGGCATCCCTATCATCAAGGCTGTATTTATTTCTGTAATATGGTGAGAAATTTTTTTTTTTTTGCGGGAAATTAATCGTCTAGATTAATCGACATATTAGTCGATAGATTAATCAAAATAAAAATAGTTGTTAGTGGCAGCCCTAAAATAATAAAAATAAACAAAATTTTGCAGGTTCAATTTTGCGTTGTCTGTTGTCAATAGTTTAGCGATATATAAAGCACACAAGTCACTTTCAAACCAAGCATCTTTCTGTTGGTTAACGCGTCAAATCGCGTTTTGAAATCTGTGGGAAAATCTTTCACCATTATGTGAAATTCCCAATCACTTGGAATCCTTTGACTGGATGTAGCCTGCAAAAATTTGCTGAACTATAGTAAATGTCAATCTGAATGTCAGTAATTATGTACATAATTCCAAGTTAGAGATCTTATTCTGTATAAAATGTTCTTAAATCTTTTTTGAATCAGACATTTACACTGGAGTAGGAGACACATTTTAGTGGTTCCCTGAAGGTCTTTCTAAATGCACTATTTGCTCTATAATATATGTCCTTTGCTCAGTTAGCAAACAAACTCTGACTCTGTTGGATTTACTCAGTTGTCACTTTGCCAAAAGGGACATTTGAGGAGATCTATTTGAGATTGTCTTCTTCTATTTTGTTTGTGCACAGTACATTCACATCAAGGAGAAATCCTGGATCTATTTGGTTTGCAAGTAAAAATGACAGACTTGTGTTTGTCAGTGCTGTCCTTTTATTTGTCTCAAAGACACAGTCTGTCAAATGTTAAAATGTTACAGTCACTTCGATTCAGTAGTGACACTGAAACCAATTTACAATGCCTTTTATTTATATTATTATATATATTGTTATTATATGTATTGTTAATATATAATTAGAAATATGTATATGCACACATAAATAATATTATATAGAAATATTATTTATTATATTTTTTATATACTTTTATGAAACATTTTAGGGATGCACGATATATCGGCCACCATATCGGTATCGGCCGATAAATGCTAAGCACCTAATAGAATTGTTTTTCTTTTTGTTGTCTAGATTGTCTCTTCAAGGTGTGTCCTATGAACAGGTACTCTGCACAGAGACAGTTCTGGAAGGCGAAACAGGGGAAGCATGGGAACAACACACAGGGAGATCTCTTCAAGAAATTACAGGTGCCCTTAAAACACCGCATGCTCACAGTAGATATGCATCTTAGTTCTTTAACATCACTGATTATGCAATAGAATTCTACTACTAGGCATTTTGGGATTGCTAATTATAGTTTTCTGTCTTTTCTTCTACGTTTTGCAGCATGCAGCGGAACTGGAGCAGAAACAAAATGACACTGAGAACAAGAAATTGTTGGGAGAGGTTGTCAAATATAGTCGGGTTGTACAGGTACAGTCGAGCTTCCCTCTTCTTATCAACAAATGTTTGTTTTTTACACTTTTGGTTGGACATCAAGAACGTTCTGTTTGTTTTCACACTGTTGCCAAGGCTGCCAGTGCCCCGCTCAAGGACCAAAGAGGCGTTTGACAGCGTGGGTGATATACGGCTCTAGAACCGATAGAAAAAAATGCCTGTTTGATTGGTCACTTTAATCTAAGTGTTTCTATGGGCTTACACAAAAACCATGGTTGCCGACATTTTGCCAAACATATTTGACCCAACAGGCCTCTTCGTTTGAGTTTTGCAGTTGCCTTCAAGGCGACTGACTTGACTGAAATTCGTGTGTGTGTGTGTGGCCTTGTGTTTTACTTTCAAAGACAAGATTTGAAATTCTATATATGTCTAGCATCTGATAATAAACTGAAAGTTTCAGTTTAGTATCAGATTTTAGTCTCACAGAGCCAGACTTTTCACTTTTGAATTCTGACTTGTCCATATTTGCATCTTATTTTACTTATAATCATTCTAATATGCTGATTTGGTACTAAAGAAATGTGTAATATTAATATTTTTGTAGAAACGGTAATACATTTTTTGAGGATTATTTGATGAATAGAAATTTAAAAAGAACAGCATTAATTTGAAATAGATTTTTTTTGGTAATATAAAAATGTATTTACTGTCATTTTTGATGCATTGCTAAAAAAAGAAAAAATCCTATAGACCTCAAATTTTTGAATGATAATGTATGTGGTACAGTTTTTAATACAGTAAACTGTCCTTATATTTTCAGCTTCTCCATATTAAGAGTAATAAATACCTGACAGTGAATAAGCGTCTTCCGGCCCTGCTGGAGAAGAACGCCATGCGAGTGTCTCTGGACCCTTCAGGAAACGAGGGCTCCTGGTTCTACATCCAGCCTTTTTGGAAGCTACGCAGCGAAGGAGACAATGTAGGCTTCACTCCACTAACACAACAAACACTTCAGAAACAATCGCTGTGTTTAGGTTCTGACGTTTATTATGTTTTTCTTTTTTTTAAACATGCAGTGAAGAAATTACTGCATTATCATTTTAAAAAGCTAATCACCTCTCATCATTATATTAACATTTTGTTGTGTTAACTGGTCTCTCCTCTTGTTTTCATCTCAGCAACTGAATCGTGAAGGTATATAATATATTTGGCGCATGCAGTGTGTGTGTGTATATACACGGAGATGTATGCAGCATGCTAACATGCATGTGACATGCAACTCTAACTGCTTGTTACGGTCTTGATTCTTTTTCTTTCAAACCTGAACTATTAAAATATATCCAAATACAATCAGTTCTAGTATGCAAATAGTTTCCAGATCAGAATAGAATTATTAAATGGCATCCAAACAGGTTCAGATTCACTGTTGACATCAGTGGCTTGAGTTCTGAGTGAGATTGGTGTTATATTATGTATAGAGAAAGAGAATGATAAACACTTCACTCACATGTTCTTCACAAACTTTGCATTTACACTAGCTCTTTAAGCATGCAATGGATATTATATCTGTGTGTATAAACAAGTTCTCCGTAATTTTTCATTAGTATCTGCTATTTAACGACCCCATGAAATAGCTTGACAAGTGCAGTTTTCTTTCCCATGTGACAATATACTTTTCTTTCTTAATACCCCATGGCCTTTATTTTGTTGGTAACATTAGTATGTGAATACAGGAATAAAGTATGTATAAATCAAACTAGTTAATTCATAGTTTATAAATTGTAGTCTCTACATTGTTAATGCATTAATAGCTGATGTACAAATAGTTTGTTCTTCATTCATTTTCACTGTAATTTACACATTTTCATTGTTCAGTTAACTCAATTAAGTTATTTTTTTATCCTTCATATCCTAAACTTAACACTAGCTAAGATATTTGAAAAACATTATTTCAGTATTTTATGCTTTTTTTTTTTTTAAAGTGTGATTCTACCGTATGTGCATTTACATACACATCATGAAAACATGCAATATTGACATATTGACAGCATCTAAAATGTAAATAATTTACGAATGAACAACTTCATTGACCTACAAATGATTATTTAATCAATTATTATAAAATTAACGGAATTAAATTATTGGTTCTATTGAATTTGTGATCAATGGCATTGTTTTTATTCACTTAACACAGTTGACTCCTTTACTTAATATGTTAGCATAAGAAAGACATGCTTACAGACTTCATGGGGTCAAGTATAAATGTGTCTAAAACACCAGTTTCTAAACTCTGCATGTCACAGGATGTGATGTCATTTGGTTTATTTTACTGTTGAAAAAGAGAAACAACAGAAACCTCTGTGGTTGAATGCAGTGTTATATATATGTGTATGTGTTTGTAGGTGGTGGTTGGAGATAAAGTGGTTCTAATGCCTGTAAATGCAGGGCAGCCTCTCCACGCTAGCAACATCGAACTCCTGGATAACCGTGGCTGCAAAGAGGTCAGACACCAGCTGTGTTCTCTGCAGCACTGTTAATGAGATCACATGATGAGTCACAGCTTCTGATGCATTGTATTAGAAAATTAGAAAATTGATGTAATGTTATAAATCTTGAACAAGTCATGGAAATTTCTATAGGGATTTTCAAGTTTTGCTTCGTTTTGAAATATATAAGTCTAGATAATACATTCATGAAGACTAAAAAATGCTTTAAACTAGAGCCCGACAGATATATCATTTAGCCGATATTATCGGCCGATATGAGCCTGTCACCGATATATCAGAGAATATGCAAATATATCTCCGAAATGGCGTGACGGATCCACACCAAATTCGGGGGATCCCTTCAGCTCGAGGAACCCTCTCGAATGCGAATCGAGTGTACGTCTCGAGGCCCTCTTTCGAATGAGACCACCCCCGCGTCGATAGCCCCTGGGGTTCGGGAGTTATGGGCGGTTAAATTTGCGGTCCGGCGCTGACCGATCTAGCGATCCCGGGGGGCTACCGACGCGTGGAGGGTGGCGTTCGAGAGGGCTCCTCGAGCTGAAGGGATCGCCTGATCCGCCTGCGCGTTCGCGAGATATTGACACCAGCCAACACTTTCACTTCAGTAAGGAGGTGTTCAGGCAGCAGCATTCAAGCGTTGTCTTATTCGACCGTAAGTGCCCTGCGAAGTGGAATTCACATGATATTCCACCATGATTCCAGTTCCAAGGGAACGCACACGTTACATTCAAAGGGCATTAAAGTGCGCGATACGTGAATGTATATTTATTTACAGAGGTATATTATGTCACACTTCTCTAGTAAGTTTCGGCTGTGTGTGAAGACAGTAGCGCAAATCCGTGAATGAATGTTCCAAAGTGAAATAAACTTCAACGTAATTGAATTTAATTAAAGTTGAATAAACTTCAACTTTACTGTTCAGTGCACTGATGTCAGACTCATTTTGAATAAAGTTTTTTAAATTGTTAAATGCCCTGCCTCCATCATTACATATCTTTGTCACGTCATTATAAGTGTTTGATCACCACATTTGAGTGATCTAATAAATGCAAGATCACTTCCAGGCCATTTGATTTCATAACACAACAAATTACTATTTAAAAAGTATGATAATTAATAATGAGTTTAATTTTGACTTTAATCTTTAAAGAACCAGACCAGATAAACAGGATTTCAATCAATAACTATAAAAAAATGTTTTATTATATATATATATATATACTGTATTCTACATATAGTACCAGTCAAAATGTTTGGACACACGAATGGGAAAGTGTCCAAACTTTTGACTGGTACTGTACTATAAGATACACAAAGAATATCAGTCAATATATCGATATCTGCCTTTTTTTTTTTACTCCCAAGTATCGGTATCGGCCCCAAAAAACCCATATCGGTCGGGCTCTACTTTAAACTAGTGCTGTCAAACGATTAATCGCTATTAATCGCATCCAAAATACAAGTTTTTGTTTACATAATATGTGTGTGTACTGTGTATATTTATTATGTATATATAAATACACACACATGCATGTATATTTTAAAGAAAAATGTTACGTTTCTATATTAAATATATTTATATATATAATTTATATGAATATAAATATATACATGTAAATATTTTCAAAATATATGCTTATGTGTGTGTCTTTATATATACATAATAAATGTATATATAATCGTTTGACAGCACTACTTAAAAAAATTAAAAAAATCACCTGAATGTACTTTTAGAATATTTGCAATAACCTTAAATGTCTTAAAAATTCAAAATATATCGTATGAAAAGTAAAAGAAATGTTTGATTTGTGATATAATTGTTTTTTGAGTTAATAAAAAAACAGTTTTGAGAACTAAGTAGAAATGCCATGAAAAAGTAATGGAAATAAAGATGTGTGTTTTGTATTTCCGGTCTGTCAGGTTAACGCTTTGAACTGCAACACTAGTTGGAAGGTCACTCTTTTCATGAAATTCAGTGAATACAGAGATGACATATTAAAAGGGGTGAGTCTTATGTTGTGGTTTATTAGATATGTGGGGAGTGATGTATTGATTTAGGTTTGTTTTGTATTGAATGTGGTTTATAATATCTCTCTAATCATTTGTCTCACTCTCTGATTCACTCAGGGGGATGTGGTGAGGTTGTTTCATGCCGAGCAAGAAAAGTTTCTTACTTGTGATGAGTACAAAAAGCAACAGTATGTCTTCTTAAGAACCACTCTCCGCCAATCAGCAACCTCCGCCACCAGTTCAAAAGCACTATGGGAAGTGGAGGTACGTATGGTTTTCTTGTTCACAAACTTAAAGTTATCTATATGTATGTAGTGAAGTAAAATGTATCATAACATTTTATGGTTTATAAATGGGATACACACTACTGTTCAAAAGTTTGGGGTCAATGACACTTTTTATAATGTTTTTGAAAAATGTTGAGTTATTCCTTTGATGACAAAGCTGAATATTCAGCAGCCATTGCTCCAGTTTTCATTTCTTACTATCAATGTTGAAAACATTTGTGCAGCATAATATTTTTGTGAAAACTAAATTTTTTAGGATTCTTTAATAAATGAAAAGTTCAAAAGAACAGCCTTTATCTGAAATAAAAAATCTTCTGTAATATTATACATTTATTTACTGGCATTTTAATCAGTTTAACTTGTCCTGGCTAAGTACAAATATGAATTTCTTTAAAATAAAATACTTTATTTATCATACCTGGAACTTTTGAACAGGAGTATATGTTCTTACTCGGATGTTAGAACAATATCATGCTGTACAGAATTAATTTGGAGTCTCTCATCCTGTCCCGTGTGCTTCAGGTTGTCCACTATGACCCCTGCAGAGGAGGAGCCGGCCAGTGGAACAGCCTGTTTCGCTTCAAACACCTCGCCACAGGACACTACCTTGCGGCAGAGGTGTGCATTCCATGTCTACGTTGTTTAGTCCTTCCCAGAAACTCATCTGGTTTTACCCTTCTGCCTGTTTTACATAATTCAGTCATGGTTAAAGAGCTGTTTACTATATGGTTTGACATGTTGTGGTTTGTGTGAATGCCTGTGGTTTACATCTATTTGAATGCTGCACGCATGAAGCTTTTCCTAGAGCAGTAAACTCACTGGTGCGCCACTTGGGTGATTTAGCTGCATTTACTCAACTGACCCTGAAATCAATAACGCATTATCTGAATGCTGACATCAGAAAAATGTCACAATGTATTAGCAGTTCTCTCTGAGATCTCTATTGTTTCTTGTAGACAGCAAGGAGTTTAAGGAGATCTTAATATCAACTACTATATTTCTCATCAAACACTCCAAACACCAGATTATCTGAACTTTAATATTCCAAATAATTTTATGGACACTCTTCCCATTTCCAGGGTTCTCCGAAGTGGAAGTCGTCACAACAAATATAATTTTTACATTCCCATTTGCCCCAATAGCAAATGAAAAAAATCCACGATAGCGTTTCTACGACTTTCCAAAAGAGGAAAAAAATGAAGAGATTTATTATGTTGCACAGAAGAGAGAAAGAAGTCAGATTTGCCGTCACTTCCTCAGCCATTGTTTTAGAAACACTCAAGCAGCAGTGTTAACCCGTTTTCTGTAATTTAATGCTAAGGTAAGAAAACTCAAAGTATAGGGTTATAAATGTACAGTAATAAAAAAAAAAGAAAAAGCTTTGCTAAATTTGCGACGTTAATAACTGTGGAGATGTCATCACAGACTGTGAAAAGGGTCCAGAGCTCTGTACTTCTACTTGAATGTTTTTTTTCAATTATTATTTCTGTTAAGGAATTTTGGAGAAACATCGGAGACAAAATGAATACTTAAACTTTTTAACAGTAGTGTTTACCACATTAAATTGATCGAAAGTGACAGTACTTTTACAATGTTACAAATAATTTGTAATCTTAAAATGCATCAAAGTTTTGACAAAAATATTAATAGCCCAACTGCTTTATTAAAATCATTAGTAATAAGAAATGTTTCTTGAACACCAATCTGCATTAAAATGATGTGATGCTGAAATCTGGAGTAATGGCTGTCGAAAATTCTGCTTTACCTTTAAAGGAATAGATTTTGTTTTAAGGTATACAAAAATAAAAAATGGTAATTTTTTATTTATAATAATATTTTATAATATTGCTTTTTTTTTTTACTGTATTCCTGATCAAATAAATGCCCCTTTTTATTTTTTTTTCCCAAAACATTAAAAAAAAAACCTTACCAATCCCAAATTTTAGAATTGTAGAGTACACTTAACTTTTATAGTCAAGTCTTCTAAACTATAAAAGATCAACCTCTGAAAATTTTCTTTTGGAGAGGTTTATCATTTATTTTTTACACTTTTAAAAGTGCAGAAGATGGGCTGCAGGTGGCAGCCTTCTCAATGTTATTGTCACAGTGGTGTAGAATCCGTCACAGCCATCCACTGTGCACAACGCAGACAGAGGGGTTATTGTCCAAGATAAAAATGATGAAACAACCCCCCTTTGTATCTGTGTGTATTCCATAAGGCCTTCATGAACACTTCTGCTTCTGTTTCAGGTGAATCCTGATTTCAAAGATCGTACCGACAGTATCAGCACCAAAAACGAGGTAAGTCAGACCCCACTTGGATGCCAACCTTTTTGAGTCATAACTAGTCTTGCAGAATTCCACAGAAATATCTGCAGAGTTCCACAGAAGATCCTTTTCCCATTCTTCAGAATACACACATTTTTTTTTTAAGTTTGCAGACTCTATCTTTGAAGTATTAATCACATTTGCTGATTGTGTTGAACTGTATTTGAAGTTTTGTGTCTGACTCTCTGCTGAAGTAAACCGAACCCGTGTTGTCTCGTCTATACAGCATTGCGGCTCAGCCCAACTCTCCTGCACAACTTCTCTATTACGTAATCTGCTTCTCTCCCCTCCTTCACGCTGCAACAGACAGACTCGCACAGCTCCCGTCCTCCTACTCTCCGGAATTTTTTTTCTCTTCCGCCTGTATCTCTCACTGCACCTTTCCGCTGTATTAGCATTCTGCTTCAGCAGCCTTGCAGACAAACGCACTCGCAGAGGGGGCTCCTTACATAATGTCTGAATCTGGGGGTGCCCCGTGAGAGTCTGGCAGACGTGCTGTCTGCTTCAGTGGAGGAGTGAGTCAGAGGAGCTGCAGAGAGTCAGAGCAGAGGAGAATTTATAATGCTGCTCTCCAAATAGCCCTCCATCAAAAAGCTCCGGTGAAAACAGTCTGTGCTACAGATGCAGTCCTGCATAATATCCTCACTGTAGATAACCTCTGGGTTTTTCTCAGAATTTTTTTGCAAGATCTATTTGAGCTGTGGCCATTGTAGGAATTGCAGGTTCAATGCTGTCGATTAACAGTTGTCAGTTTTTAAAAAATGAGCAAAGATGTGTTTACAGTAGCACACTAACATTGGAACTGAATAAATGTTAAAACACACTCTATTATGGAAATGGAGACACAAGACATAAACATTGCAAGTTTCAACATGAGATTAGTCAAATGGCTTGCAATTGTGTCTTGTCATATGCAACCTTCGAATCCTGTTATGACCTTGTAATGCCAGCAAACAGCTTTAACAAAAATAAGCGTTGCATATTTCTTCTTTTAAATGCTTTGCCCCATAGACTTCCATAGGAATTGCATTACTATAAATAGGTTATTTTATTTTATTTTTTATATTTAATTAGATTTTATTATTCAGCAGGGCAGTTTTTGTTATTTTACTGTTATTGAGATACTATTGTAGTTTTTATTCGTTGTTTAAATGAGTTTTTATGTTTTCCATTTTCCTTTTAATTAATTCCATTTAGTCCATTTAATGTTTTGTTTGGCGTTTCTATATTTTTTGTTTTTTAATGTTTATATTGTTTAATTAATTTTTGTTTCAGTTATTTTAGTACATCAATGAAAATGAGAAACGTTTCCTTAGCAACTGGCTTAAATATAATACATTTATTATTTTTCATATTTTAGTAGCATTAATGTTGATTTTATTTCAAATAAAAAAACAATATTTTTTAAGGTTTTAATCTTAATTTTAGTTAACAATAATAACCCTGGTTTGAGGTACTTTCACCATGAATATTTTTCATGTAAAAATAAAAGAAATCTCTGTAGAATAGAAAAATGCAGGAAAAAATTTATAATACAGTATATGAGAATATACTGTATATGAGAATACAGTATAAGAATAAAAATTACATAGTAACCCATAATCACAAGTAAGTATATTTAAAACCAGTAATAATGGTACAGTACATGCAGACTCAGTGTTACTTGCATTGTCATATGTGGGTTTTTATACACCAATGTGACCTTCCCCTGTCTCCTTGTGCAAACCTCAGACCAACACAGACACTTTGTACTCTAAAAAGAAGTGGCAGGCTGACAAGATCCCCTACACCCTTGTTGCAGTGCCCCATGGCAATGACATTGCCTCTCTTTTTGAACTGGATGCCACCACCTTACAGCGGGCAGACTGCCTAGTTCCCAGGTTTGTTCCTGTACACTAAAATGACTTTTAATCATGAAAACTATGAGATTAGAATGAAAAACACTTAAATTTAGATGTGCATTTATTTGTTTAACAAACCCTTTTATCCGAAATGTGGAATGGGACAAGCAATCTACCCTAAAGAGACAAGCTCTAAATAAGCTTCAAAATTGGCTAGAAGTGCAAGCTAAGAGATGTAGGTGTTAAAAAGCAGCAGTAAGGGTTTGAAAGGGAGTAATGATTGTAGAAAAAGTGCTCCCAATGAATTCAAGTGCTCACAAAGCCTTTTTAGAGCAACCATTTAGATTTTAAAATATACTTGTGAAACCATTTATCCAGATTCGTTTTTATTCAAGTCCCCATTAAGTGCTGTCGATATGCCAAATGTACAGTTGGGTATTTCCTGTAGCCGAAAAATCAGTATAATGCTAACAACTCCAAGGTCATGGGTTTGATTCCTTGAAAATATGTCCTTTTTTAGGAATTCCTATGTGAGACTCAGGAACTTGTGCACAAACACTTGGGTGACCAGTACTAACATTCCCATTGATGTTGAGGAGGAACGACCCGTTATGCTCAAGGTTGTTTATTTCCTTTATTTTTATTTGAAGAAAAATTAGTCTCGTCAATGAAAGCTTGTGTAATTTCTCTGTTTATTTGAACAGATCGGCACCTGCCGCATGAAGGAGGACAAGGAGGCGTTCTCCATTAATTCTGTCCCCCTGTCAGAAGTCAGGGATTTGGATTTTGCCAATGATGCCAACAAGGTCTTGGAGATGTTTGTGCGTATTTTGGGGATCAGCAATTTCGCTGTAGCAAATGAACGCAGGTATACGTCACACTTACCTGAAGGCCTTTGAATGTGTTAAGGTGTGGTCACAATGGGGTCACAAACCTTTTTTTTGCACACTAGCATTGTCCATTGTCAATAGCATAGAAATGTATGAAGCACAGCTCACACAGAAGTCACTTTCAAGCCAAGGAAGTAAAATGAGATCACTGATCACAGTGCATTTATATTTTTACGTTTTACGTTATGCATTTATGTTTTTATGTTTAGGTTTACTATTAAGCTTTTGGAGGATTTGATCTTCTTTGTGTGCGATGTGCCGAACAACGGACAGGACGTGCTGTCTGTGGTCATCTCAAACCCCAACAGAGAGAGGCAGAAACTCATGAGAGAGCAGAACATCCTGGCACAGGTTTGCTCGAACAGTAATCTCAAGTTGATTCTTAAAGAATCGTAGATTGCACTGCAAATTTCCGACTGTAATTTTTATGTTTGCAGATCTTTGGAATTCTTAAAGCCCCATTTTCTGAGGTTAAAGACTCGTCCATGCCGAAGCTGGAAGATATGGGGGAGCAGCGCAATGCTCCATTTAAGTACATGCTACAACTGTGTTACAGAATTCTGCGCCATTCCCAACAAGATTACCGCAAGAATCAGGTAAGGAACATCTTCAGTTATCAGTTTGAATTATTAGGGTTGTCCAGTAGACTAATATACGTGTCTTCTTTCTCACAGGAGTACATAGCCAAGAATTTTTCCATCATGCAGGCTCAAATCGGCTATGAGATCCTGGCCGAAGATACAATCACTGCTCTCCTGCACAACAACCGCAAACTGTTAGAGAAACACATCACTGCACGTGAGATTGAGACCTTTGTCAAACTTCTGCGCAGGAACCGAGAGCCCAGGTCTGACCCAGAGATTTAGACATCCACTCAAATGTTTGGCACTAACCAGTACCGGCAGAAAATGCTAAATGAGCTGATGAAATCTTTAAGGAAAACGAATGGATTCTCTGTAATTTGGGACCAATGTATTGGGATCAAATAAGAGCTCTTTAAAGGGGTCATTTGATGTTGCTAAAAAGAACATTATTTGGTGTATTTGGTGTAATGAAATGTGTTTATGCGGTTTGAGGGTTAAAAAAACACATTATTAATATTTTCCACATACTGTACATTATTGTTTCTCCTTTATGCCCCGCCTTTCTGAAATGTGTCGATTTTTACAAAGCTCATCGGTCTGAAAAGCAAGGTGTGCTGTGATTGGCCGATTACCTCAAGCGTGTGACGGAAATGTTACACCCCTACCATATTGTGATGATGCCCTGTCCGGCCGGGGTGATGATTCAAAAACATGAAAACCCATTATAAACGAGGCATTCGTTGCATCCAGTGGGGACATAATTATTGCGCTGCATTTGTGATCGGAGAAATGACAAACAACAGGCCCTACTCTACAGTGCCCAAAAAACTTGCTTTAAATATAAAAAAAACGTACTTACAATCTGTGAGTCAGAACAGCCGGCATTGTAGTCTACTCTACCAGGATCAGGAAACGGTCCTCCATAAAATGTGCTGCACACATCTGAATATTTTGGTTGAAGTGTTCTGGAACAGTGTTGTAAATACAACTTAACCACTGATTTCTAGTCGTGTCCATTTTTGGAAAGCCAAACAAAGTTTTGCTTTCACAACGAAACACAGTGTCACACACGGCGGCCTAGAGTGAGCAGCGGCGGCCTAGAGTGAGCAGATGCCGGGGGCTAGAGTGAGCACAGGCGGCGGGCTTGAGAACGGCGCGGCCGGCGGATTCGACAAAGGAGGCTTGCGGCAACCACATGTGACAACCCCGGGCTGGACTCCGCTTCGTCCCTGGGGGAAGCCGATCCGGCAATCCACAGAACGGCGCGGCCGGCGGATTCGACAAAGGAGGCTTGCGGCAACCACATGTGACAACCCCGGGCTGGACTCCGCTTCGTCCATGGTGAAAGCCGATCCGGCAATCCACAGCGCAAACAAAGGCCAAACAAAGTAGTTTCGCTTTCACAACGAAACACACAGCGCCTTCACGACATGGCGGCCGCAACAATACTACAGCGAGAATAAAAGTTACGCCTTCTTTCTTTGGGTGAACATTTGCAAATCTTCCGAGATAGTGACGTATACATGTGGGGGCGTGTTAGAACGAGACATTTAGGTAGGTGTGGCTGACTCTTAACTTTTATAAAAAATATTTATTTGGATTTGAGACTTTAGTCTTTGAAACTTTACAGATCTTATTTATGCACCAAGAGCTTGTAACACTCCAAAGAGAAAGGAAAAATTTAAATCACATCATATGACCCCTTTAAGACATGTACTGTAATATTCTGCTGGATAAACAAAAATGTATTATATTTTTTTCCAAGTAGGATTTTATTTTTATAATAAGACTCTTATTTGTCCCATTAGTATCATTTAGATTCCAAATTAGTTATATTATGAAATATAAAAAAAATTTATTTTATGTTTTATAATATAATTCATTCCTGTGATGGCTGAGCAGCTGTTACTTCAGACTTCAGTATCACGTAATCCATCAGAAATAATTCAAATATGCTGATTTAATGCCCTAGAAACTTTTTTTTATATTATCAGTGTTAAAACAGTTGTGCTGCTTGATATATATATATATATATAATTATTATTTTTATTTTTTTTTGAAACAGTGATATATTTTTCTTAAGATTCTGTGATGAATAGAAAACTAAAAGAATTATATATTTTATATATAAATATATTTTATTGTGCATTTTTCCCCAGGTTTCTGGATTATTTGTCTGACCTGTGCGTCTCCAACAAAACAGCCATTCCTGTCACTCAGGAACTGATTTGCAAATTCATGCTGAACCCCACCAACGCAGACATCCTCATCCAGACCAAGTGAGATCCTGGGATTAGCTAGATCGGGCTCTTGGACAATGACAATGATGAAGAAACTCTAATAACTCTAATAGTGTCTAATAGGTCGTTTTGTATTATATTAAGATATATGACTGGGTTTATGTTTCCGTAGACTGATCCCACACACAGAGACCTCTCTAGAGTCATCTTTAATCCAGGAGGATGGTGATGATGAAGAGGTATGGCTATACTGGATTGATAACCACAAAGAGCCTCATGGCAAGTCCATCCGCCATCTGGCTCAGGATGCCAAGGATGGACAAAAATTAGACGTTGACATCATCACCTACTACAGGTTAGAGTTCAATCACATATTTGAAAGATAGAGTATTTAATTTCATTTGTTTATTTATTGTTTTATCTTCTAAGCAGGATCTTTTATTATTCTTAAATTGGAGTACATATGAATGTCTATCCATTCTCAGGTGTCAGCTCAATCTTTTTGCTAAAATGTGCCTGGATCGGCAGTATCTGGCCATCAATCAGATTTCCAATCAGCTGCCAGTAGATCTAATCCTCCGCTGCATGTTTGATGACTGCCTGCCTTACAACCTGCGTGCCTCATTTTGTCGTCTAATGCTACACATGCATGTGGACCGCGACCCGCAGGAGGCCGTGGTTCCTGTTCGCTATGCGCGCCTCTGGACTGAGATACCCTCCAAGATCTCTGTCAATGAGTAAGATGGAAACTGTCTTTGCCTCTGGTGCTTCTACCATTATGTGGCTTTATTTACAAGACTGCTTTGTGTTGTTCAGCTTATCTGACTGTAAAATTGGTGAACAGGTATGACTATGAGTTCAGAGACACATCCAGAGAGGACATGAAGAGAAAGTTTGCCCCTACTATGCATTTTGTGGATGAATATCTCAAAGATGTGGTCAGTCAGCCTGATCCCTTTGGAGACAGAGAGAAGAATGAATTGACCCTTGAGGTGAGATGATGTTTGGTTCCGTCAATGGTTCTCACATGTGCAATTTTCCATCAGTGTGGACAGAACACCATAAATACTCTGAAATGACATTGTTTCCTGCGCTACTATTCAGCCAACACCAAATCTACAGTGCGAAACATACAGCCTGACTTGGGGTGCATTTCCCAAAAGCATTGTTAGCTAATTATGGTAGTAAGTTCCATTGAACTCTGTTGGTAGCGACGGAACTTGCAACCATAGTTGCTTTTGGGAAACGCACCCCAGGGTAGTCAATTCCAAAACAAATGACTCTTATAAGCTTTTTTCTTAGTGGTTTAGATTTATTCATATAGCAAGATCAGTGTAGTCAATGAATCACTCTAAAGAGTTGATTCTTTAAAGTGAATCAAAACCATACAAGCACGAACAGTGTAGTCCAAATCTCGGACTGATGACTTTTATAGGCTTTTTTTTAATGATGCAGATTTGTTCATATAGCATGACTAGTCTAGTCAGTGCTGGTCACTCACTATAGTTGTGAGTTGGTTCTTTTTAGTAAATTAAAATTACTGCATGGCCAGTGGAGTCTAATTCTCAAATGACTGATGTTAAAGAGCTGTTTTTTAGTAAATCAAATGTATCCTTACAGCGCAAACGGTGTAGTCCAGTTCCTGAACTAATTTCTCTTATAAGCTGCTTTTTTTTGTGAATCAAATCCATTAATACAGTTTGACTACTAGTGTAGTCACTGATTCCTGAACAAAGGAATAGGCTCCATTTAGTGAATCAAAAACACAGCACAACCAGTGTAGTCTGACTACCAAATGAATTTGATCATTCAAATCTATGAATATATATGCAGCACAAATGGTCCAACTGATTCTCAAACAAATTAGTTGGTTCTTTGTAGAAAATCAGAGTCATACAGTGCAAACAGTGTAGTTCAGTTCTCCATTCTATGATTCTTAGAGTATAAGCTGTTTTTTAGTGAATCGAAATCCATCCATACAACATGACTGCTGTACTTCCTTTGAATCCTGAACGAATGGTTCTGTTTAGTAAATCAAAAACATACAGAACAACCAGTGTAGTCCGATTACCAAATGAATGACCCTTATGAACTGTTTTTTTTTATTAAATCAAATTGCAAACAGTGTAGTCCAACCAATTACTGAGTGAGTGAATCTAAAGATTTGGTTCTATTTAGTGAATCAAAAACACAGCACAACAAGTGTGGTCTGGTTCCCACACCATAAAATGTATTGTATTGAATCAAATTCATCCATACAGCCTGACTGGTATAGTTCAATCGACTCTATTAGTGAATAAAAAATACAGCACATCCAGTGTAGTTGGATTCCAAAAGGGTGTACTGTACTTTATTAGGCATTATTTTTAAGTTAAACTGATTCCCGAACAATTTAATTGGTTCTTTGTAGTGCACCAAAAACATAAAGCGCAAAGAGTGTAGTCCTTATGAGTCAGTTCACATGGAACTTATGTTGTACTTCATGCTCGTGTGTCTGTGTGTTTTGTATTTGTGTGCCAGGTTTGATATTTTTCTTGAGTGTATTATGAGACGTGTCCAGAGGACAGAGCAGAGCAGATTGGCTGCATTAGCTCTACCAGAATACTAATGATTCAGTTTCTAACACTTTGAATTTTAATGGATTTTCGTCTGTCTGTCGCTCTAACAGGTGGTGCACCTGGCACGTAACCTGGTCTACTTTGGCTTCTACAGTTTTAATGAGCTGCTGTGCCTCACACGCACCCTGCTGGCCATCCTGGACATTGTCCAACCCACTTCCACATTTATGTTCAAACTCAACAAGAGCCCTGAGGGAGGTGAGACCCCATTTTAAAGCTGTCTTCAGTGTTTGTTTTGCAAGATAATAGCTGCTTGTCCTTGAGGCGGTGTAACACTTCAGGCTGTGTTTGTGTAGGTAATAATGTCATGCGTACCATCCACGGTGTGGGTGAGATGGTGACTCAGATGGTTCTGAGCAGAGGCTTGATGATGCCCCACTGTCTCCCTGATGCTCAGCCAATCCACGGAAAGCAAATCTGTCTCCCTGACAACGAGAACGTCATGGTGATGGACACCAAGCTCAGGATTATTGAGATTCTGCAGGTGATGCCCTTGTAGACTGTTGCATTTCAATGAACTAAATTGATCAGTTATACAACACAAACTCAAGTTTATGTCGAAGAAAGTTTTGGAGGTTCTGTTAAATGTTGGCATCCTTTTTCATTTCATCTTTTCTATTTATAGTTCATTCTGAATGTGCGTCTTGATTACCGCATCACCTATCTGCTGTCTATCTATAAAAAAGAGTTTGGTGACCAGACTTTGGACACTTCTGCTTCAGTGGCAGAAGTTCCTGTCATGGCTGGTGAGAGTTTCATGACATATACAGTCATATAAATTAATTTCCAACCACACCATGCAGTTGATTAGTTTATTTTTGGTTTCAAGGGTATGCATTTGTGTGTGTATGTTTTAATATTACTGTGGTATGTTCCAGAGCCAAACATTGAGGAGATTGCGGAGAAAGCAGAGAATATGTTTTCAGGGAGGTGAGGGAATGATTTCTTGCAATGTGTTTGTTTTTTTCTGTTTGGTGTATAAAATACAATTTAATTGTGATACCTGAATCACTATTAGCACCGATACTGCCTTTTTTTAAAAGGATTGAAAATAAGTCAGACCGCGATACAGTAATACTGTGAGATATTGTTCAAATTTGGAATAATTGTTTTAATATATTTTAATATGGGATTTATTCATATGATAGCAAAGCTGAATTTTCAGCAGTCATTAGATTACTTAGATTCTTCAGATATTCCTTCAAAAATTCAATGTTGATTTTGTGATCAATAAACATGTCTTATTATTATTAATGTTAAAAACAGTTGTGCTGCGTAATATTTTTTATGGAAATTGCCTTTTTCAGGATTTGATTAATAGAATGTTCAAAAGAACAGCATTTATTTGAAATTGTATTGTAACAATTTGTTAAAAGTTGTTTCACCTTTGATCAATTTAATGCATTCTTGCTTAATAAAAGTTTTTTTTTCTTTTAAGCAAACCAAAAATATTACTAACCTTAAATTTTGATCGGTAGTGTAAATAAACTTTTTTCCCCCATTTTTAAAAATGATCACAAGTTAAAAATTTGAAGAGGCATTTTTTATGTTTTGTGGATTTTTTTTTCTGACAATAAAAAGAAGCAGTGTGCTGTGTGATTGAATGAATTAAAAACAACAATATGAACAAACATGCCCAAGATATCATTACACGATAAACTCTCTACTAGATAACATTTCTGTAATTTTGCCTTTTTTTTTTTTTTTTGCTGCTTTGTCTTTAGGACTTCTATGTAAACACTTGATTTTTGGATTGGCTTCATTACTGATTCAGATCTTGTGTTGTTGTGTTCACAGTGCTAAGGAGAGGAACTCGGTAGACCTCGATGATGAAGGCGGTCAGACGTTTCTGCGGGTGCTTATTCACCTCATCATGCAGGACTACCCTCCGCTGGTTTCCGGCTCTCTTCAGCTCATCTTCAAACACTTTAGCCAGAGAGCCGAAGTTCTGCAGGCCTTCAAACAGGTCTTACTCTCACTCATACTCATAGTTCTTCTTATCTTCTTATCAGTGTATGGAGACTAGCACAGGTTTTAAATATTCTGTTTTAATGGAAGAACCAAATGTTCTAATGGCCAGTTAACGGTGGTGTTTGTTTTGCAGGTCCAGCTGCTGGTTTCTGAGGAGGATGTGGAGAATTATAAGAAGATTAAGGCAAGTCTGGACCAGCTGCGGCTGACAGTGGAGAAGTCTGAGCTCTGGGTTGAGAAGAGTGGAGGTTACAGCAGTGAAGACATTGCTGAGAATCAAAACAAAGAGCAGAATTTGGAGGTGCGCACCTACTGGAGAAACACTGCAAGCATATTGCTAAATTGTAGTGCAGCAGATTTGCTTCCTCTCTGCAGTGCATTGCGAATACAGCAAAGAGAATACATTTGCCATCTTATTTTGTAAGACTTTGATACAGCAGTTAATGTTTGATGTGAATTAATTTTGTGACCCTCATAAGATTAGTTCACTAATAATTTTGTCCTAATAATTAGAGATTGACCAACATTATATTTAATAAATTATGATAAACTCATAATACTGATATTAGTAATAAAATAATCATAATGCACATTAAGTTTTATCCTTGTAGTTTAGTTATCATTTTTAATAATTTTTTGCTATTGTTGTCAAAAAGCAAAAATGTCATTAATTGAAATGAAGCTGAAAATAAACTATAAATACTGTATATAAACAACTTTTAAAAAACCTTAAACTTATTTTAATTCAATTAGTTGCAAAGGCAAAACTTTTAATATTCATTCAAGTTTAATTACTAAACTACTAAAAATAAAAAACTAACTATGACAAAAGCACATAATAAATAAAAAATTATGAAATTATGAATGCTTAAATCCAATTTAAATTGAAAAACAAAAATTTAAAAATAAAAGCTTATTCAAAACATTATATATAATATAATAGTAATATATAAATAATTCAATAATAAAATAAAAGAGTTAAATGGATATCTTTTATGAGACACTAAATTTCTTGATTTCACACCTTAATTTCTGGTATATAGGAAGCAGGTATCTTGAGTCCAGTGCAGGATGGGAACAGTAAACCTCAAATTGACAGCAACAAAGCCAACAACTACAAAATCGTCAAAGAGGTGGGAACTTTTTCATACAGTGTTCCTCAGCTCCAGTGATGAAAAATTTTCGAGACTGAAGAATTCGAAAATACTTTAAAACTTCAAACTTGTGACTTTGTTTCTGATGTAGATCCTGCTGAGTCTCAGTAAACTCTGCTCTCCTGGTAAGAAGATTCGTGTGCAGCAGCAGAGGCTGTTGAAGAACATGGGAGCTCACACTGTGGTGCTAGACCTCCTCCAGATCCCATATGAGAAGGTGAGTGGACGTTCCTTCAGTGCATAAATGATCAGTTCAGTATTTTATAGATTCCACAACCAGACATTAGCGAATGTTGTTCATTAATTCAGAAGTGGTTTAACCATTATATATCGTAACATTATGATATGCTACTGTAAAATAAATCTAGACCTGGAGATTGTCATATTGAGATCCTTATGCTGCCAAACACTTGCTGCTCTGTCTTCAGGGGGACGAAAAGATGGACGAGATCATGTCTCTAGCCCACACTTTCCTTCAGTACTTCTGCAGAGATAATCCTCAGAACCAGGCGCTGCTGCACAAACACCTCAACCTCTTCCTCACCCCTGGGGTGCGTGTCACCACTGAGCTGATTTCAGCTGAGGACGCATTACACGTCCTTTCTATTAATAGATTATTTGGTGTTAAAAGGGAATATTTCATTTGATTCTCTCTTTGCTTCTCTCAGCTTCTGGAGGCAAAAACCATGTGCTACATCTTCAGGAACAACTACCACCTGTGCAATGAGATCAGCGACCGCGTGGTGCATCACTTCGTGCACTGCATTGAGACCCACGGCCGTCACGTGCAGTACCTGCGCTTCCTCCAAACCATTGTGAAAGCCGATGGCAAATACGTGAAGGAATGCCAATGCAAAGTCATGAATGAGGTGAGAAGGACTTTGAATTTAATGTGTGATGGAGATATGTACATGTGTATCATGTTTATAATACTCAGAATATTAAAATAATTTTTTTGCACATTTATTATTAATTATAATTAATAATATATTTTGAAAATAATTGTATTTTTATATCTGTTGTTTTATTTTTGTATAATTTTATGATGCTTATCAGTAATTCTGAAAACATTTTAATACTCATTTTTGTATCACTCTCCACTAATTGTCAATATAGACTTCCCTTCACATAAAAGTGAATTTATGTGTTTGTAGAGCTAAATCAGACATTGTGTTTGTTTTGGGCCGTAGCTGGTGAACGGAGGAGAAGACGTGTTGGTTTTCTACAATGACCGTGCCTCTTTCCCGGTGCTGCAAAATATGATGTCGTCTCCGCGGGAGGAGAATGATGCTCTAGCGTACCACATCACCCTAGTGGAGCTGCTGGCAGCATGCACCGAGGGCAAGAACGTTGATACAGAGCTCAAGTGCAACTCACTTCTGCCGCTTGATGACATTGTCAAAGTGGTCACGTACGACGGCTGCATTCCAGAGGTGATGGAACATTAACCCTACCTGAATGTTCTCTTGAAAAGCTCACCATGGCATATTTGAAAAGTGCTAGAGCTTAGAGTTGATTATGTTGTAATGGTGCTTTTATAATTTATCTAATGACATTAGTCTAATAATGGAGAACAAAATGTTTGCTCATGTACTATTACTGTACATCACAAGTTAAAACTCTCAAGAACATGCACAGTATTGATCCTTACAAAAAATAGATGTTGAAAAAACAGATGGAAATACCATAGTGCTTTGAGATACAGTGGACAAAATGCACTACTATTCAAAAATTTGGGGTCAGTAATTTTTTTAATAAATTAATGCCTTTGTTCAGTTAGGATGCATTAAATTGGTCATAATTGACAGTAAAGACATTAAGAATATAACAAAAGATTTCTATCTCAAATTAATTATTTTCTTTTTGAATTTTCTTTTCTATTCATCAAAGAATCCTGAAAAAATGTATTACAGTTCACACAAATTATCAACCATTTTTAACATTGATGATAATAAGGAATGTTTCTTGAGCACCAAATCAGCATATTCGAATGATTTCTGAATGTGACATTAAAGAAAATCTTAATTTTAAAATATATAAGTAGAAAACAGTTATTGGCGTTATTGTTATTGTCATTTTTATCGTTTCACAATATTACTGTTTTTATTATATTTTTTTATCCAAAAATGCAGCTTTGGTGAGAATAAGAGACCTCTTTTAAAAACATAAAAAATAATGTTCAGATGCCAAACTTTTGAATATTAGTGAATATATATTTTTGGCCACACATTTAAAACGTTTGAATGTCAATGCATGAGATAAAATAACATACCAATACAATAATTTTCAAAAATTAGGTTTGAAAAAAAAATTATAATAATAATTGAAAATTTTAAATAAATATATATATATTTTTTTTTAAAGTTGGCTTAAATGTCCAAATACCTTTTTACGGCCACAGTATACCATGGTATGAAATGTTTACCAAAAAAAAAAAGACTTGGTAGTGCCATGTCCAAAAAATGCAATTAAAACTGAAGGCTTTTTTTGTAAGTGATATTAGCGAGACTTTTTGAGTGTGGTTTTTACATCTTTTGCAGGTAAAAATTGCATATGTAAATTTCGTGAACCATTGCTATGTGGACACTGAGGTGGAGATGAAGGAGATCTACACCAGCAATCACATTTGGAAACTCTTTGAAAATTTCCTTGTAGACATGGCAAGGGTGAGTTAACTGACGCCAACTAACTCTTTCTCTCTCTCTGTTTCCCTCCCTCGCAATTTGTGAGGCGTAATATACAGGCTTAAAGAGCTGTTTAGATCATCTGTGACTGATTTGTGCTTGATATGTGGGTGCTAAGCATCCTGAACTGATGATGATGTTGTTGTAGGTGTCTAACGGCCCCACAGACAGGAAGCATGCTGATACATGCCTCGAAAAATACGTCACTGATACCATCATGGCCATCGTCAAGGGCTTCTTTGGCTCGCAGTTCTCTGTCAGCAACTCGAACCTGCAGGTAGAGTGAGAAAGTTCAATCCACCAGTTCCTCACCTCATCTCATCTCAGTCTGATGTGAAGAGGAGACTTATTTCTCTCCCTATGCTCTATGAATCAGTCATATTAATGTTGCTTTGCTAATCTCTTCGTCAGGCCCATCAAGCAACTTTCATTAAACTGCTGCAGTCAGCCTGCAGACTCTACAACTGCACCTGGCTCAACTCCCTGCAGAAGACTAACATTGAGGGTTGCATCAAAACCCTTGCTGACGTGGGTAAGTTTCACATCTAGCAGTGATGAGTCTTAACCAAAATATAATGCCTCCATGTGACAGAGGGTTTTGGTTTGTGGATTAAATTCTTTTTTTAATGAATGGTCATATATAGCTTCACCATGACTAAAAAATGCTTCCAGCTAATTATTCGATGCTGACATGTTTTTTAAATATTGACCGTCCTCCTTAAGTTTTCTAAATTCCTGCAATTGGCACCTAATGAAATAAAAAATTAAGCAATTTTATGTAAAAGCTATTTAAAATGTATATATATGTATATTTTTGTGTATATATATATGAGTGTATGTGTGTGTGTATATATATATATATGTCATCGGAAGTGTGCTGCGACTATTTACTTTCAGTTTCAATTTAAGTAAATTAATTTAGGTTTGCCATTTATAATAAATGTTGTTTGTAATTAATGCCACTATAGTTTGTTTGTTTTATACTTAAATAGTTAATTCCTGTTCTATTCTGGATACTATTAAATGTAAAAGATTTAAGTGAGGGGAACTGATGTTTATTGTGTTTATAATGTAAATTGTAAAGTGAAAACTTTGCGTTTACCTTTATTTCTTAATGTAATAATAATGTTTTTTTTATGTCAAAGTGTATTTATTCAAGATTTTAATGATATACAAAAAACAAACATCAGCACAATTCAATTTGGACTCTGTGCAGCTTGTTTTCTGGAAAATATGGCCTTCCAGAAAGCTATTATTTAAAAAAAAAGTAACAATAATAGTATACCACATTGCACATCGTCACTGATCCAATCATTACCTTATGCTACACTGCTAATTAGATAACAGTAATAGTATTTGTGCATGTTAAATGTCTTCTGTCTATGACACTGACTACTGCTTTTGATTGGATGTTATGTGTATGTGTTTCAGGGAGTCATTGTGTATCTGGAGGAGCAGTTTAGTCCGCAGGTGCATGCAGAGTTTTCTGTATTAGTAGACGTGCTGCAAAGCCCAGAGATGCTGTTTCCTGAGTCTGCGCAGCTCCGCAGTGAGGATGGAGCCTTCATGTCTAAGTGAGACATGCACCCACATCAAACTAATTAAAGGCGTGCGTCATACGCGATGAATATATTAAACAAGTCCAGTGGCAGTTTTAAAAATAGCCATAGGTATGACATTATAAATCCATGAGAATTTTGGCTATAACTCCAAACATTTACGTCAGCAGCACCCTTAACTGATTGTCTGTTGTATGTTTGTCTGTAAAAATGAGTTTAAAACATGTAAATGGCAATTTGAATTAAATTGAAAATATGTTCATGTTTGTATGCATGTGTTGGAGCTGGTTGTGCTGTGATTAGTATACCAGCAGCATCATATATGAGCTATAAAATGTGTTTATTGCGAATGTGCCTGGGGTTCTGAGTGCCTTATATAAGCAATTATCTGAGTCTGAGCAAGATATACCTCTAAAATCACAGACCGTCTGCGTGTGATTATATAAGTCTACACGACTAGGACATAAAGCAGATTTCCTGTTTTATTTGTCACAACATTTTTGGACCATTACATTTATTGAAATAACACGACTTATGGAAAATTGTTGCAAAAACAATTCAAATACTTACTGAATTGAAAACAGTCTCAAACTGCCAACCCCACAGTATGTGATATTGTCATATGTGGCTGGACTTTTTTCTTTTCGTTTTTTTCTTAAAATCCGGCTTGCAAATCAATTGATTTTATTTACAGATGTCAAATATATGGATTGATTACAATGTAGACTACTGTTCAAACGTTTTGGGTCAGTAAGTTTTTATTAAATTATTTACAGAAATTAATAGAAGGATGCATTAAATTGAGAAAAAGCAAAACAGTGAAGACTTTTGCATTGTTACAAAAGTATCCTGAAAACACGTTAATGTTAAGCAGCACAACTGTTTTTAACATTGATAAGAAATGTTTCTTGAGCACCAAATCATCATATTATATAATGATTTATGAAGGATCATGTGACACTGAAGACTGGAATAATGATGCTGAAAATTCAGCTTTGCCATCACAGGAATAAATTGTTTTAATATTAAAACGGTTATTTTGATTTGTAATGATTTTTAACAATATTATTTTTTTTAACTGTGTTTTTGTTCAAATAAACAGCCTTGGTGAGCATGAGAGATATTGTTTAAAAACATTTAAAAAATCTTACTGACTTCAAACTTTTCAACAGTAGTGTACTTTTAGTCCTTAAATAATTCAATAACTTCTGACTGTTATATAAAATCCAGTTTTGTCATGTGTCTAGCCTGTAAATGGGACTGTTACCTGCATAATCTATTGTTCTCTAGAAATACAATCTCAGCCAGCATTACTCCACTAAACACAAAGAATTATATTCTAAATATTTTAGGTTAAAAAATAAGATGAAAATGTCTTTTGATACATCATTAATTGTATGTATTGATTATAGTTAAATGCATAGTTGCAAAACATTTGTAGTTGATGTGACTGGTCAAGTGGCCACGTTGATATCCTTGAATTATATTACATGTTTAGTGTGAAATATGATGCAATATTTTCTCTCAGGCTCATCAAACACACCAAGAAACTGATGGAGAAAGAGGAGAAGCTGTGTATTAAGATCCTGCAGACCCTGCGAGAGATGCTGGATAGGAAAGAAATATTCGAGGAAAAGGTATGTGTGGTGGGAACTTTCCGTAACCTCATTCTGGCCTTTTTTGCTCACACTTTTTTTTATGAGTGAATATATCATCTTCGACTGTAATTATGAGAATGTGTAGAAAATGTGTTTCTTATACAACCTGCCACTAACAAGCAGTAACAAACAGCAGATCAGCTCAGGTTTCATAGTAAACATCAAAAATGCACCTGCCACCTGTGATGTCATAAGGGAATTAGGGAATGTTGTTGCCATGCCGGTAACCACCAGAAGAGGGCGATAGTGCCAAAACAAAGGCCCGTGAACCTAATGAACCCCCCCCCAACCCCTAGAGCAGAGAGTGCTTATGTGTGTGTATATGCGGGCGTGCGAAGTGAAGCACAGCTCCAGACAATTAATCATGCTGAAAATTCAGCTTTGCCATCACAGGAATAAATTGTTTTAATATTAAAACGGTTATTTTGATTTGTAATGATTTTTAACAATATTATTTTTTTTAACTGTGTTTTTGTTCAAATAAACAGCCTTGGTGAGCATGAGAGATATTGTTTAAAAACATTTAAAAAATCTTACTGACTTCAAACTTTTCAACAGTAGTGTACTTTTAGTCCTTAAATAATTCAATAACTTCTGACTGTTATATAAAATCCAGTTTTGTCATGTGTCTAGCCTGTAAATGGGACTGTTACCTGCATAATCTATTGTTCTCAAGAAATACAATCTCAGCCAGCATTACTCCACTAAACACAAAGAATTATATTCTAAATATTTTAGGTTAAAAAATAAGATGAAAATGTCTTTTGATACATCATTAATTGTATGTATTGATTATAGTTAAATGCATAGTTGCAAAACATTTGTAGTTGATGTGACTGGTCAAGTGGCCACGTTGATATCCTTGAATTATATTACATGTTTAGTGTGAAATATGATGCAATATTTTCTCTCAGGCTCATCAAACACACCAAGAAACTGATGGAGAAAGAGGAGAAGCTGTGTATTAAGATCCTGCAGACCCTGCGAGAGATGCTGGATAGGAAAGAAATATTCGAGGAAAAGGTATGTGTGGTGGGAACTTTCCGTAACCTCATTCTGGCCTTTTTTGCTCACACTTTTTTTTATGAGTGAATATATCATCTTCGACTGTAATTATGAGAATGTGTAGAAAATGTGTTTCTTATACAACCTGCCACTAACAAGCAGTAACAAACAGCAGATCAGCTCAGGTTTCATAGTAAACATCAAAAATGCACCTGCCACCTGTGATGTCATAAGGGAATTAGGGAATGTTGTTGCCATGCCGGTAACCACCAGAAGAGGGCGATAGTGCCAAAACAAAGGCCCGTGAACCTAATGAACCCCCCCCCAACCCCTAGAGCAGAGAGTGCTTATGTGTGTGTATATGCGGGCGTGCGAAGTGAAGCACAGCTCCAGACAATTAATCAGCATCTAGTGGAGAAAGAGTCCCGCTCTGTTACATAAGCAAAGGCACATGAGGACACACTCATAGTGTTGGAGCAAGTAGCCAAATCACCCAGAGCCACAAATCAATACTGCAGAGATCAGACTACGGCCTTGCACATGGAGAGAGAGAGTGAGAGAAAAACAAAGAAAAGGAAGAATAGAAAAATATTAGGAATAAAGAACAGGAAAGCTCTAGCAGATTAATTCCCAGTTGTTGCCTCATAAACATTGACATTATAGTCGTTAGTGGCGGAATGTCTTAAATGTAACACAAGACTTGTGATAAGTTTAAAAGTATAAAGGCACGGTTCCATTAGTGAGATTTCAGCACGATTTTGCATGCAAAACCAGGTCTATTTTCAATGGTATAGCGACATATGAAGTACAGCTTTCAAACCAAGCAGGTTTCTTTTGTTTTGTGCAGCGAAATGTTGTGAATATGAGCGAAAGCAGATGTTACTGCACCTTAAAAGTTGATACGTCTCTCTCTACCACAAAATATATTTTCCATGTATGTTTTAGTTTTGGAGCATACATTCTCCACAGGGTTTGGCTGTGTTTGCTGTGTTGTTGTATTATAAACATTATGACATCATAGTTTTTATGATATCACAGTGAGTGGCGGAATGTCGGCACTTATTTTTGCCAGTTGAACATATTGAATCAGCATTTGTTAAATCAGAATTTGTTGAATCAAAAATTCGCCTGTGAAATTTTGCCAAGCAATGGTAAATGTAACCGCATATTATTCAAAGCGACTCTCTCTATTTAAGCAGTAAGCACACACTTTATAAAGACATTGGTAGATGTCTTGTATTTTATATGTACAATAAACAGATTAATTACAACGTAAAGGGAAAAAAGTTGAGATAAGATTAGAAAGCATGAAGTTTGTGAATGCCTGTCTATCAGTCATGTCCAAAGCAAGACAGCACATAGCCCATGCATTATGTAAACTAAATAGTGAATAAATTACTGTAGAGTGATTCCTTATACAAAGTGCACAACAAATACTCTAAACACGGAATCTTAAATACGTGTGATGCACTAGAACAGACCTCGTTGCTCTTGCCTTTCTCACACGCACATTTGAGAGTCTTCTTGCAGTGGACTATTGAAAGTGCATACTGCCACCTATTTCATGACACCGGCATGACAGCTGATGAATCATCGGTGGATCTGGCTTAGGAGAGCCGATATGATTAGTTAAAAAAAAGCTTAATCAGCCCCGATCCTTGAGATTGGCTTGGGACATCCCTAATTATGATATCACAGTGCGTTGCAGAATGTTGTAAACGTAACATACAAGACTTGTGACTAATTTAGAAGTGTAAAGGTGTGGTCAAATTAGCGATTTTCAGCAAAATTTAATGTGCAAAAAACAGGTCCGTTGTTTATGTCGAGCTGTATGAAGCACAGATCACACAAAACTCACTTTCAAACCAAGCAGTTTTATGTTGGTCAGCGTGATAAATTTGTGTGATAAACTTGAACGTGAGTGAAATTTGTGCGGGGAACTTTTTTATCCTTGCGCGAAACGTCCAGTCGCACAGATTCCTTTTAGAACACCCTCAAAATTTCGCTGAGCAGCGATAAACGTGGCCACACATTAAAAGGGATTTGTTTCGTCTCTCCACCAAAAAAATTTAAAAACTGGTTTGCGCAATTCCACATCTGTATGTGTTTGTTTATTTTGGAGCGTTCGTTCTCCACTGGGTTTGGCTGTTTGCCATGTTGTTGCATCATAAACATTATGCCATCATGGTCATTATGACATCACAGTGACTGGTGAAAAGTCTTAAATGTATTTTAAGTTTAGAAGTGTAAAAGAAGTGTAAAAGTGACTCGTTGGATTTGTTCCATCTCTCCACCACAAAAAAGATTGTTTGCGTAAATCCACGTCCGTATGTGTTTGTTTATTTTGGAGCGCTCGTTCTCCACGGGGTTTCGCTGTTTTGCCGTGTTCTTCCCGCCCTGAGAGTGGTGCTGCGGTTTCATGCAGGCCTGCTCGGCACAGACCGCCGGCTCCCCAGGGAGACCGAGAGTAGGAGGGCGAACGAGGGAAAGAAGGAGGGAGGGAGCGAGCATGTGAGAAGCCATGTGAGGCAAGAGAAAAAAGCGTGGCACAGCAGCAGGCGGAGGGATTGGAGAGGCGCGGTGTCTGCTGAGTCCATGAGGCGATGGAGCAGGGGGTGTTTACGTAACCAGCCTGCAGTGTCTGAGCCAACCTCACGTGGCTCATCATGTTCTCGCTCTCGCTCACTCGCTCGGTCTCTCCCATCATTTAGCTCTTGTTTATCTCAGTTCTTTTTCTCTTTGTTTATGGGTTAAATTTTTCTTTCTTTCTATCTCTCGCCAATGACTTGGTGATTTGGTTGCTGAGCAGCAGGTCATGGCTCACGAGCAGATATAATTGGCCTCTCTCTCTCTCTCTCTCTCTCTCTCTCTCTCTCTCTCGAATGATCACTTGTGTCAGCGTGGTGAGCTGAACGTGAGCATGTGTCTGCACACAATGTACAAAATGTTTAAAATGTCAAGCAGGCGCTGTTGTTCTGCTGTATTTTAGATATGTGGTAATGGCCAAACGGTCACAGCAGAGAAAGCTGAGCACAAAGCTTCAAAGTGGCGAAAAGTAACCGTGTATTTTCCTGTGTGTTTATTCCGTTTTTGACACTATAGAAGAAGTATGTGTAGTTGTGTTTAGGAACATTTGACTTGTGGTTCCAGGGTGTGGTTTTGACTGTTCTAATTTTAATTGATTTATTGACTTAAATGATTTATTCATGCATAATTTTTTTTTGTGTTCCCTCGTAATATTTAATCAAAAACACTAACTTCCTCTAGCCCTCGCAATAATTTAAATATTTTCATGACATTGTCATAAAAATAAACTCGGAATAAAGTTTTCTATAATTTCTAATTAGTTTTTAAATTTCTAATAGTATTGGGACCACATTCCTTGCTAACTACTGTGTAGTCACTTTATTTATCCGTCTCAAAAGTTTGAAAAAGGTAGTTTTTAAAAAAACACTTTCTAAAGAAATTTCATATGCTCACCAAGGCTGTATTTATTTAATAATAATATTAATAATATTATTATTATTCATATTAATAATATTATAAAAAGTAATATTGTGAAACATTATTGCAATTCAAAATTACTGTTTTCTGTTTTAATATATTTTTAAATTTAATTCTTTCCTGTGATGCTTTTTTAAATGGATTTAAATATATTTTTATGTAACAATGTAAAAATCTGTACTGTCATTTTTGATCAAATTAATGCATCCTTTATTTTCTTTAAAAAATAGTACAGTAGTTTTAATAATTACCAATTTGAATAAATTCTGCTTGTTAAATCAAGCCAGATGGTTGATGACGATTACCTTAAGGCACAGATTTAAATGACTTTGGGCGTTAAAACCAAAAGTTCTGAAACTTCAGACCGTCATGTATTGTGCTATGTTTGTGGGCAGGTTGTGTTCTAACATAGTGAACTACGTCAATGAAAACGCAAGCCTGTTCATGAATCCCTCTGGCCAAATTTCCAATACTGGCACAAGCACCAGCACCATTTTCATGGAAAAGGGGGTAATAGATGCACCGCACAGGCTTTGTGTTTTTGCAGAATGTGATAAATGTATGAGGGAGCATGGCTCAGTGTACATGTGAAACCCTTCAGTAAGACAGCCAGGCCACTTCTGGTCCTTGCGTACTTTCTTTCTTTTCCAAGATGTTTCTGTTCATTGCGTCCATCTGTTGTTACAAAACATTAACCGCGGCCTGTTCTGGAGTGTGTTTATTTAGAGTTAATACCTCGCATCTCACGAGTTGGGTGTACCCTTGAAGTAAACTCTCATACCAGTATTTGGTGACTAGCTTTGTGTGTGTGTGTGTGTGTGTGTGTATAAACAGGCCTCTCCTGTTTGTTGACAAAGGAAAGAAAAGCCCTGTTACATAACAGCCTATGCCTCTCTCTCTCTCATCCTGCCTGTATTTCTCTCCAGCCAAGTTTCACACTACCGCCCGGAGGCAAAGCAGCTTTCCAGATTACCAACCTCAAACGGTTAAGCTCCTCACACACATGCAGATACATACACATCACTGCACACACAATGCTGGGCCGGGGGTGGGAACGGGACACGTACACGCTCTGAAATTCACGCATATACATCAGCTCTGCGAGCAGGTCTCCCTGATGACTGCGGTGGAATACGACTGTTTCAGCCCCCACACACAAATCCCGCCAGAGCTCTTAGACTAAAGCCTACACGGACACACACGTTTAACCCAGGGGTCTCGCCAATGCCACATGCTAGCATACCTGTTCATGACTGCTGCAATGAAATAAAGCGAGAGGTGGCATTCCTGCTGCTACAATTAGCATTTAAAATCTTTACAAAACACATTCACAATGCATTTAATTACTGTACAGTGGGGGACAAACAGGTTTGAGACCACGTTGAACGTGTGGGATTCAAAATTTGGATATAAGCTAAATTTTAGGATTTTGAAAAATGTTAAATAAAGAAACAAAGCATAATGAGTAAACGAGTAAATCTTACGTAATCTTTTTTTTTTCCTTTTTGATATAAATAGTTTTTTTTTTTTGCTGCTTATAAAATGAAATAAAATCAAATAAAGACAATTAAATTTTTTTTTTTTTTTTTTTTTTTTTTTTTTTTTTTTTTAAATACAATTTTTTTCACTCTGCACTTTTAAACAGCTCGAATTTTGCATTCCTGAAATTAAATTTTTCTATTCAACTTTGGACTAAAATCTGATTAAAAAAATTAGAAAAATAAAATGCTTGCTGCTTTTTCCCCACTGTAAAAAAAACCTTTATAATTATATAAAATATATATAAATTATATATATATTTATAAATATATAAAGTTATAAATGGCTAGGGGATTTTGTTCCATTTTACTGGAGTGTTTTGAAGTTAGGGCTTGTCCTGCATACACACCATTGGAAAACACCGTAGTTACTTCATAGGATATTTTTAGAATAGAATCTTCAATAAATGGAAAATCCAAGCAGGCTCAGTGGAATTTGCTTAGTACAGTGTCTGAATCTTTCCCACATTATTATTTACAGGCCATTACTAAAGTATTACAGCTCAACTTAATATATAGGCTGCATTTGTTTGGTCGAAAATAGTGAAAACAGAAATATCCTAAAAAATGGTTTTCTAGTGATATCAGAACTCCAACTGTTTGCATCACTCCGCTTGCGGTATTTCTCATGGCGAGTGTCATGGCGGATGCCCAAATACATTCAAAATTTTGAAATAATACTGTGTTTGTGCCATGGAATGTAGTTTTGAGAGTTTTTAGGTGAGAATGTACTTGTTTAGACTTCAAATATGCAGTTTGTTAATAAAGAAAATATCTATTTGAAAATTTGCTTCAACGTTTTCGGAGATGTGAGCTCCAGGGTGTCAGTGGCTGTTTAGCACTCATGAACCCACCGAGAGCAACCTTACCTCGGCCAGATCTTCTGGAATTTGCCGCTAGTTCTGATGTCTCTATAGTGGTTAAACATGAGATATAATTTGTTATGGGTAAATCTAATGGGCAGTCTTTGGCCCCATGCACTACATTGTGCAAACTGTAACTGTTGTAGGGCTGTTTTTCAGGGATTGCCAAGATATTTTGGACAATCAAGTCAAGTCGAGCTTTATTGTCATTCCGCTACATGTGTGGACATACAGTGGAACATACAACACTAGACGTAAGAACAATTTTTAGACCTACATAGCTAACTTTCTGAAGCAGTAGTCTAACTACACATATACTATAAATAGTTGACTATACATACACATAACCTAAGACAGACTATACAAGTACTTTACATAATAACTGTACATGATATTGTGCAGAAGAGGTATTTAAGGTTAAGAAGTAGTGCAATGTGATTTGTGATGCATTCACAAGTAAACATTTGTGTTATCTTATTAAGTCCTTGTAACATGAAGTGTTTATAAGAAAGTGTCTGGTGCGTATAGAGAGGAAAGAGTGTGTTTTTCTACATGTGGTTTGTCCAGCCCACTCACCTGTGTGTAGCACACTCAGAATTGCACAATGTTCTTGAGGTTTTCACATTGAACAATCCTGTGCTTCCATCTTTGTGAGAACAGTTTGAGAACTTTTCTATTCCAGCTAGCTGTGCCCCAGTAAACAAAGCAAGGTTCATAAAGACATTGTTGGGTGAGTTTGGTGTGGAAGAACTTGACTGGCCCACACAGAGCCCTGACCTCAACCCCATCGAACATGTTTGGGATGAACTGGTGTAGGGTTGTGACGGTGAGGAAATTTTCCCACCGGTTAATCGACGTGTGACAACACCGGTAATACCGGTATCACCATGGGGGCGAGGGCAGGGGCGTTCCCTCTTTTCCTCGCTTTCCTTCGCTTTTAAATGGCTTGTAAAAGCTGCGTGCGCATTTTACTTTCACTTTCAAATAGCGGCAATTCGGCGTAAAGCAATTGTTAGTTTTTAGTTCGTTTGAATTTCCCCTCTTTTCCTCGCTTTCCTTTGCTTTTATATAGCTTAAATGCGCCATGCACATTTTACTTTCACTTTCGAATTAGCGACAGTTCGGCATCAATTGCTTGAATGCAACAACAAAATACAACGTCAAACTCAATTTAGCCTATATATAAAACATATAACTTTTATTAACAAAACAAATAAAAATACACCATGCTATAGGGCAGGCTATGCCTAATATAAAATAACAAATAACTTGCATAAAGTTTAAATAGCCTATTTCCAGTTTTGTATACCTAGGTAAACATGTATAATATTTATTTATTTATTTTTATTTAGTCATTTATCAGACACTTTTATCCAACGCGACTTACAAATGAGGACAACAGAAGCAATCAATTGTAGTATTAAAACAACTAAAATTAGCCCAAAACTAAAAGCTAAAACTTTATAAATACTACCTATACACATTTTTTAAATAAAGAGATTAAATAAAAATGACAAATGCATACAACTAAATTGAAAAACTTAACATTTAAATGAAAAACAAAAAATAAAGCTAAAAATAATTAAAAATATTAAAGAACAAAAGGTATAAGAGTATAATAATGATTCTAACATAACACTAAGCCAAACACCAAAAAAACAACTACATATGTGTATGTACAACCACACACACACACATACGTACACACACACACATAT